TGTATGTGTATATATATGTACATGTACAGATGTATACATACAGATGTATATGTGGGTGAACACCAATGCGTACCCATATGCGTATATGTACATGCATGTCTGAATAAGCATATGAATGGCTACATATATAGGTGTATATATAGTCATAAGTACCTGTACAAGATATATATGCACGTCTATTTGCATATATGTGTGTGCGTATGCACATATGTGCATAGTTTTGCATAATGTAGATATATGTAGAAGTCTATGCTCCAACCTGCAGCCACAGTGATGAAGAAATAGAGCGCTTCTATGAAAATATCAATTTAGCCAGCGAGAGAATAAAATCCTGCCTCACAAAAATTATGGGAGATTTTAATGCCAAAATAGGTTAAAAAACTTTTTAAATTTTGCAGAGGCTCGATCACTCAATTTCTTGACTACAGAAGTGGAAGTGGACACGGAAGTTGTCACCAGACATAAAAAACGAAATCGACTTTATAATTTCAAAAAGGCGCGATATAATAATAATAAAAAGGTATCACTAAAGTAAATGTTGGTAGTGACCATAAAATTGTCAGAGGACAAATTAAATTACACCTCAGAAAGGAAAGGAATAAACTCATATGAAAACCGCAGTCAAATTTACCTAACACGAAGACCAGAGCGACAGAATTTAACCTTAAAATCCAAAACAGATAGTTACTTCTCAGCGACGAAGATCTCAACATTGACCAAACCATGAAAATATTGTCATACAGGGACGCGAGATAATTAACTAACAGAGACTATAAATAAAAAAAGATATATGATGCACGGAAATTCAACAGTCAAATAATATATGAAACTGTGATCTCAGGTACCATCATGAAAACAGCTAAATGGAAACTCGGAATAGGGCGAAATCAAATGTATGCAATATAGAAACCAGACAGGGAAGTGACATATAATAAAAATGAAATCATAAGAGCAGTGAAAGACTTATACAGGGATCTATACAACTCAAATGAACAGCCATAGATAGAAATGAACACGTTAACTAGAGACGTACCTAACATCACAACATAAGAAATAAAAAGAGCACTTAAAGGTATGGAGAGAGAGGAAAAACAGGTGAAGACTTATAACCTTATAGCAGATCAAGGAGAAATAGCAAGTGAAACTAGCCAATATTTTAAACAAATACCTTCTCAACGGAAACTCTGAAAGCCTAGAAAAATGTAACATGTTGATACATAAAATGGGGTTAGAAAGGATCTAAACAACAACTGACCCATAAGCCTCCTTTCAGTTACTTACAAACTGCTCACAAAAGTCATCACAACTCTCATCTCTGAAACACTGGATTCTAACCAGCCGAGAGAGCAGGCTAGTTTCCACATTGGATTCAACAACAGACCACATCCACATGCTCACCCAAATAAGTGAAAAAATAAACGAATATAGGAAACCCCTTTGTATAGCATCTATCAATCACAAAAAGGCATTTAACTCTGTACAGATACCAGCAGTACTAGAAGCTATTCGAAGACAGGGAGTAGAGGAGGTATATCAAAAAATATTGGAAGACATACGAAGATGGAACAGCAACCATGAAGCTCCACGCGGAAACCGATAAAATACCAATTAGATAGGGCGATACCATCTCACCAAAACTGTTTACAGCTTGCTTTGAAGAAATATTCAAGCTAGAATGGAATGGAGAGGGTATCAATATAGGAGACGAATACCTAAACAATCTAAGATTTGCAGATGATATTATTCTCTTCAGTGAATCTGCAAATAAAACGCAAAACTAATAAACAGTCAATCAGAATCATGGACTACAACCAAATTACTGGAAAGAAAACTAATAAGTGCCCAGAGAGGGAAGGAAAAGTTGATGCTGGGAATTAGCCTAAGAAAACGGATGAGGGCGATGTGGATCAGGGAACAGAAAAAAGGGGAAGATATACTAATGTGCATCAAAAAGAAAAAATGGCAATGGGCAGGTCATATATTTCGGAGACAGGATGACAGATGGACAAAGAAACTAACGGATTGGGCTATAGATAACATAAATAAGCCCAAGGACCAGACCAATGACAAGATGGCGTGACAAAATAACGAAGCATTTTGGGTCAATCAAATTAAAGTGCACATTCAACAAGACAAACTGGATCGATACAGACTTCTACATTCTAGATCAAAAAGTTAGACCAATTATTTTGAGTCTGCCAAGCCTGAGAGCCCTAGGCATGAGTCACAGATGTACCCTCAAACAACCATGGCCGTCCAGTCGATGGATCATTTAAAGAAATCATACCCAGATCAATTTCAAATAATTGGGAATTTTCATCGAAAATACCACATAGTGCTGAAAGGTTCAAATCCAGTTGTCCACGTACCAGAAGAATTTCCTATATATAAAAAGGAAGAACTTTAAAAACCAGCTCAAAGATACAGAAAAAAAATAGGACTTATCGAAAAGGTGTCAGAAACTACAGATTGGGTTAACAGCATGAAGATCGATGGCAGTCTACGTGTCTTTTTAGATCCAAGAGCTTTGAACAAAGCTATAAAGAGAAGCCATCACAAGACACCTACGCATGAGAAAATCACACAAGTTTGAAGATTTAAGATTTTTCAGCAAACTTGATGCAAAAATGGCTATTAGTCAGTCAAGCCTGATAAAACCAGTTCATTCCTCACTAAATTCGACACTCCTTTTGGCCACTACAGATACCTCAGAATGCCTTTTAGTGTGGT